CTCTCCTATAGGTTTTAACCCTTTAGAGCGCCATTACAAAAGGCTGTTCCATCTCAACCACCACCTCCCCATCCAGACCCCTTCACTGGCCATGTTCTTACCCTACCTCTCCCTTCTATGATCCTTTTTCTGTCCACATGCTGACAGCTATCTCCCTGTCCCCATGCCAATGGATATAACTCTTCCTGAGTCCACCCCACTCTCCCTATGGAACTGGGTACACCTCAAACAGTTATCTCTTAAAGCTCTAGAGCCCTGGTTGAAAGTACCCTACACTGTTATCCTCACCACCCCTTCAGCTGTCAAGCTCCCAGGACATCAGTGCTGCTACCACCTTCCCAGGCTCAAGTGGGCACCTACCCAGGATGAATGATCCGTGAAGCAACAGGAATCCTTCACCCTCCAGTTTTCCAGAAACCCAAAGCCGTAGTTTCTGCTATGACACCAAGGTGTCAATCTGTTACAGTACTTTACAGACATTTGCATTGTCTGGGGAAAGAGTGTTGTTACTGTATCAAGGACTCTGGCCTGGTAGAAATTAATATCGAGTCACTCCACAAATTATCTGAAGAACATTGCCAATACAAACAGGATATATCTCACTTCCATTCTTTCTGGCAATCTTCACTCTTTCAATGGCTAGCCCTGTTCATATGACTGAGGGTAATAATCTATTTTTTTTCTCCTAGCAACTTGCCTGCTTCTTCCAGGAACATATTCATGAAGTCTCCAGGCTCGTGGGTAATTGAATGCTTTTTCACCCATACTTCCTGTTGAGCACAAACCCACCAACTCCTAACTCCCCCTACTCACATCATCCCATGCCAGCAGGAAGTAGCCAGATTTGAACCTATGCCCATTGTTAGCATTCAGGCACTATGCTGGCCTTTCCCGTCATGTGGCAGGATGCACTCAGGCAGTACCCTGGTCCATCCAGGGTTCTGTGGCTGTTGTGTCACTATGCAGTCTGTGTACATGTGCTATGCCCCCTTTTAAGAGACAAGCTTTGCCGGGCGATGGTGGCGCACGCCTTTAATCCCAGCACTCGGGAGACAGAGGCAGGCGGATCTCTGTGAGTTCGAGACCAGCCTGGTCTACAGAGCTAGTGCCAGGACAGGCTCCAAAGCCACAGAGAAACCCTGTATCGAAAAACCAAAAAAAAAAAAAAAAAAAAAGAGAGAGAGAGAGAGACAAGCTTTACCCATTCCTCCTCTCATTCCTGCCGCTCCTCCAAAGAGGCAGGCAGGCTTTTGGGCCTTCCTCTCCCTCCTCCTTTCCATTCCCCTCCCCCAAATAAACTCTCCATGCAAGCTCTGTCGCATGATGGCATCTGTCTTGCATGCGTGCTCCCACCACTTTTTTAATTATAACATTGGTGCTGTGACCTCGGGAGACTCTCCTGGTGCTTCCTCCTGCCTACTGGCAGTACGGAGTACACAAGGACCCTGGAACCCGGTTCACATGTGACAGTCTTGGTTTTTAAACTAACAGATCACTGGGTCAACCATACAAAACCAGCAGAATTGGTAAGTTTCCCTTCTCCTGGCCAGCATAAATGCTTCTCTGGATCCGTGTAAGTGACTATTGAACATATGGCACCCCTCTGGTGTCCTTGGGAATCCTTTTGCTGACAATCACCTCTGGTCTTTCCCCACAAATGAGGCCTCATTTCTCATCTCTTGGACCCAAGCATCTCTTGGGTTTAGTCCTTCAGCTTCTATTCTTTGACTGACAAGTCACGGTGTGGCTTGTGTCTTTCTTGCTTGATCCTCACTTGATAAAAAGTCATTGACTCTTACTCCTCTACCTTACTCGTGGGGTCTGCATCTTCCACTATAATAAACTCATCTGCCTCTGCAGGGAGATTTGGCCCAAATATCCCTTAGATATCAATCCACATGGCTGCTTCCCAGCACCCTATATCCCAACATTTTATGGGACCTTTACAACTTTCTGCCAGAAATCTAATAAATGGAAGGAGACACCCTAATTTCAACCTTTATCTTACCTTCACTCCAAGTCCCTCCCTGTTCTTTTTCCCTGTGCTGGCTATGGACAAGTGGTGAGTCTGTAACAAGTATACAGTTGGTGCTCTGGCTCTATACCTCCCCTTAAACATATCTAGGGCTTGATGCAACTCAGGAGTGCTGCACTGCCCCTGACTCCCTTCTGGGTGACGGTGCAGTCTGAGGACACCTCCATCCTTTGGTGAAGCTGACTCAGGTACTCCGATCCATGTTCACCTCAGCACCACCCTCCTTTCATTGCCCAGCCTCTGCTGATGAAGCAGTTACATGTCACCAGGTTGCTTTCTGCCACTAGCTATGTGACATGTGCACCCTTAAAAATGCCCACCAGGCAGAGCTCATTCTCTTTGCCTCATCTCTTACCTTTTACTCCTTTCTTTCTTTCCTCCTATTCTAACTTCATTATGTGTGGCATGTTTGTTTAATGGCATACCTTGGCAGGGCTCACCAAAGGTACCCACTTTTTCCACTTTCTTTCTTTCTCTTTGTTCCAAAATCTGCTTGTATTTGTCTGCTCTCCCTCTCTAAATGTCCTGTCTAGGTCTGCTTCAATGTGGGATTAAGAGATGGAAAGCCAGCTTCATCTTGCTCAGCACCTACTGGTTTCCCCTTTTAATTTATTCAACTCCTGTTTAAATATATATGTCTATATATGTGTACATATATGTGACTTGAATTTAACTCTATATGTATGAACACAAGCTAGATTTAACTCTGTATGTGTATGTAACTTGGATTCAACTGTGTGTATGTCTGCATGTAACTATTGTTTAGAAAGCCACCACGTGGCTCTCCTCCATCTTGGCTGGTGACCTCATCATGATGTAGACAGCCACATGGTTGGCAGCCATTTTTTACTAAGTTTAAAGATTAAATGTATTAGCCCTAATGAGCTCTATTCATTGTATCTCCTTCTAGACTAAGAAAGCAACAAGTCTCAAATATTTTGGATTGGTATAGACTTATAGACTTTTGTATGGTGATAAAAATGTATGGGTAGGTCTGTTACAATGTACTGTATATGTGATTCAATTCTGCTTTAAAATATATTCTATATGATGATAAAAATTTAAGGTTATAAAGATATATTTAGATTAACAAAAGCTAACCTAGGGATTCATACCTAAATACTTTTATCTTTGTCAAGTGTTCAACATCAAGCTTCTAGAGAACTGAGATACATGTTAACATATGTTTAATAAATATTATATTTGATAAATAAGATATATATTCTATAATGGAATGCCTGGTCCTCCAAGAGGATCCAGAGTTGGGCATTTGGACAGAGGCCCCCATGATTTGTCAAGGGCAGTGCTGGCCTCTGTGCTCCCTCAGTCCCTGCTCACGGGCTACATCCCAACTCACAAGCCCCTTTTCTCCTGCTTCCATTTCACCCTGGGATCTTTCCCTTGTCATTTTTCTTTGTTCTCCCAAGAGACAGCCTTACAGCTGGCACAAACATTTTATCCATAGAATGGCTATTTTGGTTTCTTTACTCAGCATATTTTCTATCATTAAAAGGTTTTATTTTGATACTAGAAGAGCTGCCATTCAAAATCAGTATTTTTAAGGCTAAACCAGGCAGGAATATAATGCAAAGTTCTAGACTTACAACAGCTGTTCACCTATTGTAGACTGTTAAGGGATACAAGTCAATAGTCATCTTATAAGTGACCGAGTTCTTTAGTTGTCTTCACACTGAGTACTGATATAATTGATTACAGGGATAAGCCTTATTTTGCCCCCTGCATATGTTTTCAAAGTGAAGCTGAAAACAAGCAACTAGAAACAGTGTTTGTCTACTCAGACTTACCTAATAGTCATACTGTCTGCAAACGCTCAGATCTGCAGAATATCACATTTAAAATGTTTAATTAAAAAGCTTTCATAATAGAGAAATATGCCAGCTCCTGGCAGCATCCCTATTTCCTCCAAAGAAGATGGATGGGTACGGAAGAACCTTCACCTGAATCTTGCTTCAAAACTGGCAACTCCAGCGACTGAACAAAACTGCCTTTCACCTCAACTGCTGCAAAGACCCTCTTCAGACCGTGGACAACACAGGGCACTGAGGAATCAACTGCCTCTAGTTGCTTAGACAAAGGTAAACTGGTATTTCCACAAGTTCATGACTATGCCTTCCAGAAAAGACTGATGTTGCCCTGAGACCTCTGCCTTCAATGATCACAGAGGAAGTGGCTGTTTAGGAAACCAGCAACTAAGTCTCTGTCATTTTAAATCAGTAACTCAGGCAAAATTTATCTTTCTCAGAACTCTGACAGTGTTTGATGACTAGGCTAGAGGCAGCTTCGTCAGCTTAACAGCAACAACCAAGCCTTTAGCTGTCTTCTCAGTTCAGTTCTCTGTGTAAAATTCAGGTCACAGGCTTCACTTTCCTAGAGCTAATACTACGGCTAGACACAGTTCACCTTGCTACCAGACTCAAGAAAAGACTCTTTTATTTAAAGGAACTTGTTTCGCAGTGACTGCTCTCAATGGTCAGCCACCTCTATCTCCTGAATTAGAAGGTGCTTCAAGGTTTGTTTATGTGAAGATAAGAAAGCTTAAACGACGATAAGGAGAAAGTGATCTGAGAAGTATAAGAGAATAACATGATTCAGATTTCTTTTCCTCACTGTGCAACTGTTATATTCAGACTCTGAAAGTTCATAGTCTTAACAATAGTTGATGGAATTCTAATAAGCTATTAATCTAGCTCTGGCAGAGTACGAAACTCCATACTACGCCATTATACGATCAAGATTTTAAATTCCTTTTAGTTGTTTTCTAAGTATAGACTTAAAAGGTTCTTTTCATTGTCCTAAAAACATCTGTCACAGTTTTCCAGACAGAAGAAAGACTGTTAATGAATACAACCAAAATCATTTCTGGCATGAGTATACTGCTGTTTCTACAATATAAATTTCAGTATAGGTTATAAACACTTGGAATGCTAATGTGTCTAAAACTTACCTTTTCACAAACTCCAAGAATTCTTGTAAGCTTCGGGGAGTCGACTTGGATTCACCTTGAACAGGACAGATGCACCCCTCAATTAAGTACTGTTAGCAGCCTAATCCTCCCCACCTTTCTTTGGTATTGACACACCGCCCCACCTCAATTACCCACACCTAAGGAAAAATTTTCCCTACACTTAACTTTATCCTCTGCTCTGCCAGCATTTTGCTAGATCCAAGAGACACCGGACAGCACCACATGGAGAACAGTGGAACAGCCAGATATTCCTGAACGTGGCCAGCACCCCAGCTTTCTCAGGTCCCCCCAAGATTCCAACACTCCCAGATCAGCACGAAGCAGTCTTAAGAACTCTGTGTTCACATCCTCCTTACCTGCCACCCCTAACTCCTCACCTTTTTATAATAAACAAAAGGGAGGAATGTTAGCATTTAGGCATTATGCTGGCCTGTCCCTGGTCACCTGGCAGAATGCACTCAGGCAGAACCCTGGACAGCCCAGGATTCTATGGCTGCTATGTTACTAAGCAGTCTGTGCGCACGTTGTTACACCTTCCCTTAAGAGACAAGCTCTGCCTGTTCCCCCTTCTCTTTCCTCCAAAGAGGCAGGCAGGCTTTTGAGTCTCTCTCCCTCCCCTCCCTCCCTCCCTCCCTCCCCCCCCCCCCCCCCCCCCCCCCCCCCCCCCCCCCCCCCCCCCCCTCCCTCCCTCCCTCCCTCCCCGCTTCTCTCTCCCATTTCCATTCCTCTCCCCAATAAACTCTCCATGCAAACACTGTCACCGAATGGCATCTCTCTTGTACGTTCTCCTGGCATTTAAAATTATAACAGCCATATACCCAAAAGGGTCGAGATGTTTGCTTGGAACCTCCAGCTCACCTCCTGCATGATCCAGAAAGCCCCATTCCTGCCTCTCTCTCTCCAAATCCTGCCTTCTCAGAGAATCTCCAACAAAGGCACCAAAAAGCCCAGTTCCACATTCCTGCGACTACTGCAACTACTTCCTCTGTTGCCACCAGCAGCCTAAGTCCGCGCCTAAACATTCCAGTTTTTGACCATACTTGGGCACAAACCAAGCTTGGGGTGGACACATCACCACCCCTTGCCTACAGGGTACATAATCTCCTTGCTTTAGTTCAGGCAGGTGGCTTCTCCGGCTTCAATCTCTGGGTCTGGAGAACCCACTCAAAAGCTACTTTGTTCAAATAAACTTGTTCTTCTACTTTTTCAATTTGGCTTGATCTGGCTTACTGGGTTGGCAGAAAAACCTATTACCAGGGTACAAAAAAAAAAAACTATTACTAACATCAGACTTGAACAAGACAAATCAATAGGAGGAAAAGAGCACAAGAGAAGGCACAGGAAATCAGAGACACACTCAGAAATCTCACAAAAACGTTAAACTGGAAGATATAATAGAAGCACAGAGAACCTAGTTCCATGCAGACCTTGTACATGCTACCTCAGCCTCTGTGAATTCATATGAGCTTAGATATGTTGCTTTAGAGGACCTTGTTTTCTTGGTGTCCTTCACGATCTCTGGCTCTTATATTCTTTCTGTATCCTCTTCTGTAAGTTTTTCTGAGCCTTGAGGGGAGGAATTTGATAGAGAAATTCTGTTTAGGACTGAGCATTCCAAGGTTTCTCACTGTCTGAATAATGTCTGGCTGTGGATCACTGTATTTGTTCCCATCTGCTTCAATGAAGCGTCTATAATGATGGCTGAGCAAGGTACTAATCTATGACTACAGCAGAATGTCAGTAGGAGTCATTTTATTGGAATACTTGTTGTAAACTAGTAGTATTCAGTTTGACCCTAGGTCTCTGGACTATCTAGTCTCAGGTTCTTGATCATCCAAGTATAATCTGGCATGAGTTACATTTCATGGAATGGGCTTTGAGTCAGATCAGGTATTGGCTTGTTACTCCCACAAGCTTTGTGCCAACAATGCCTTAGCACATCTTGCAGACAGGACACCATTGCAGATCAAAGGGTTTATAGTTGACTTGGTATTTATGTTTTGATAGAAAAAAAATATTTTTAATACTGAGGTACTTAATACCCTTGTTATACTTATATAACCTTATTTTATATAACCTATATATTCTTATTATATTTGTAGTGTTATATATGTATATAATAAGGATATATAATTTATTTTCAAGTGGTTCAGGAAAAATGTAATGAAACTGATAAATGAGGAAAAATACTAATAATAGGTAAATTTGTGTAAAGTTGTTTAAAAAATACTTAGTGTAGAATTTATTTTCTGTTAATTTGAAATTATTTCCAACTACAAAGTTTAACATGGGGCTGGAGAGATGGCACAGTGGTTAAGAACACTTGATGCCATTGCAGAAGACCCAGGGTCAATTGTCAGTATTTCCATTGGGCAGCTATACCTGCCTATAACTCTTGCTCCGGGGGATTTGATGCACTTTCTGGCCTCTGTCAACACTGTGTGCATGTGTTACATATACAGACAATCAGGCACATCAATGTACACATAAATGAAAATATATTTAAAATTTTAAAGCTAGAAATGGTTCCAATACTTCCACCTCTCCACCATACCAATATAAAAAAACCATATTAAATATCTAGGAGTTCAGAATGACATCAGAAGAAAGGCCATAACAATGACAATGCTCTCAAAAAAATTCTTGCCCTTTAATCTTTAAGAATGCTGACAAACTGTCAAACTGATGTTTTCAGAACTCTGGAAATTAACCCAAGACAGCAATTCAAGGAGCATTTAAGCAAAAACAATGACTGTGTTGCAGCAAGAAGAGTAAGCTTTGGAGGTGTTATAATTTTCCTTATTTCCATTTCCCATCTCCTCCTCCTTTTAATCTCTGCTGTAGCTTTGAAAATTAAAAGCCCACAATGGCATTGAAAATCAACAGTAGAACACAATGAAGCCAGAGTCATTGGAGAGGCAGAATGGGTTTGGAGGTCTAACAATAACCCATTTTCAGAAACCTGTCATTATTTGGCTTGTCTGGTGGCTTCCTGGAATATCCTATTCACAAAACTTGTCTTTATTTGACATGACTAGGAGCTATCCCAGTATGAATGGCCTCTTCCTCGAGGCATTTGTTGAAAACAACCAATGGCAATTTTTTAACATCATGGCTGTCTGATGGAATGAGTTAAAAGAAGATAAAAAAGATCAAGAAAAGGGCCTGAAAGGAAAAGCTGGAGAGTAAAATGTTTCTAACGGGGATATGAGAAACTCTGCCATGCTCCCGGGATATCTCCGTGGGCTCATGGAACTTGATGTTTATGTTCAGGCTTGTGTGCTTGCTTAGGAAATACTGGAAACGGGTCTGAGCTCTTCCTTCCTTTATCTGAGACAGCTTCACGTAGTCCAGGCTCACTTAATTTGCTGCCAAAGATGACCTTGAATTTATGAACCTCAAGTCTCTACCTTCTGGGTGCTGAGATTACAGGTTTTCACAATGGCCAGTTTAGGCAGTCTTGGACATTGAATGGATGGATAGGCAAGTACTCCATCAACTGAGCTATATTTGTAGCCATTACACATTTCTTATCCCAAGGGTCTACACAACACAAACTGATAACGCATAAAGTTTAGTGTTGAAAGTATGCCCCGGGTCTGGAGAGATGGCTCAGTGGTTATGAGTACTGGCTGCTCTTACAGAGGATGAAAGCTAAATTCTCAGCACCCACAAGGCAGCTCACAATTGTCTGTAACTCCAATTCCAGAAGATCAGTCACCATCACATAGACATACATGCAGGCAAAACACCAATGCACACAAAATGAAAATAAATATATCATTAAAAAAGAATGTCCCTACATGTGCACAAAGTCCCTCTGTAATGACCAAAAGAACTATTGATTGCAGGTGTTTAAGGAAATCTCTATCCATTTATTGCTCACTCCTAAGCTAATCAAGCAAACTTCATTGGCCCCAAAAGATACAAAATATAGACTCCAATTAATTATTGAAAGGTACTGGACAACAACAATCATTAACTTGTGAAGGCAGAAGAACCGTGTGATTTCTAGGTAGCATCCTGCTTAGTATTTAAAATGGTCACATTATTTAAGCTCTCTGATTCAAAAAAGGAAAATAGATACATGAAGAAATTCCAAAAATATGGCCCATGCACAGAATAAAAGCAACCAATAGAAATTGCTCCTGTAGAAGCTCAAATGGTGAACTTATTGGAAAAACACCATAAAATAATTGTAACTGTATTGCAAAACTAAAGGAAAACTGTATCTAAAGAACTAGAGGGAAGTGTAAGAACAATGTCTCAGAGACTATAAATAAAGACATGGAAATTATAAAAATTATCTGAATAGATATCCTGGAGTCCAAGGGCATAAAATGAAAGATTCACTAAAAAGGCAAAATTGTACAACTGAACAAGTAGAAGAACAAATAAATGACTCTCAAGACAAGCCAACTGAATTTAACATCAGAAAAACAAAAATGTGAAGAAAAATAAACAAAGCCTCAGAGACTGTGGAAATTATCGATGCACTAACATACACACAATGGGATTCCTAAATGGAAAGAAGAAAAAGCAAAATAAATATTTGAGGAAATAATGGCTAATGTATTTTCAAATTTAATAGAAATAGTAATGATCACATGCAAGTTCAACAAACTCCAAATAGCATAAACTCAAAAAATATTCACACCAAGATACATGGTATTTCTAACAAATTCATCTGGAATTTAGATGGTAGTATAAAAATAGAAGAGACTAGCCAGGGAGTGGTGGTGCATGCCTTTAATCCCAGCACTCAGGCAGCAGAGGCAGGCAGATCTCTGTGAGTTCGAGGCCAGCCTATCTACAGAATGAGTTCCAAGATAGCCAAGTCCACACAGACAAACCCTTTCTTGGAAATAAAAGAAGAGGAGAGAAGAGGCTAGAGATAGCAAAATGAAGAAAAACATAAAAGTAGAAAAAGGTAAGATAGTTACTTATCACTTAAAAATCAAGACTATGATATTTCAACATATGAAAACTACATGGAAATAAATTTCAGGAAAATCATATAAAGCATACACAGTAGAAACACTCTCATTTCAAGAATATACTGACATTTAAAACAGTGATTTAATATTAGGTAACTGC